ATGTAAAGAAAGTTTCAACTTTTTGGGCCCAGTCAGTGGTTCTTGATAAGACTTTTTTAAAATGATACCACCAAATTTTCACTAATTCTTGATTATCCCCCCTTGAAAGAGGGTGTGACCCTTCACTTGAACAAACTTGAATCCCCTTTACCCAAAGATGCTTTGTGGCTGGGTTGGTTGAAATTGGCCCGGCGGTTCTAGTGAAGAAGACAAAAATGTGAAAAGTTTACAGGCGGACAGATGAATGACAAACAAAATGTGATCAGTAAACCAGAAAAACTCAAGTGAGCTAAAAACTGATGATCACAAGTACTTGGAAAGAGTTACAGTATTTGAAAAGCAGTTTTTTTCATGCATTAATTGTTTTCAGAAGCTGAAAAGGTATGACTTGTATCCATGTTGAAAAAACTTCACATTTCAGAAAACAGTATGATTAAAAATAGTTAATCAAGGTGCTTTGAGTAGCAAAATAAGCTAAACTGGTATAGCTAATTCAACCACAGAGCTTAGTGAATTTTAAAATGCACAACCTTTTCAACTCTTAATCATTCTTAAAATATTTATATCATCATTTCTGATTCAAGGGAGAACTAGAGATATGATCAGAAGTATATCCATTGACTAATAAACATGTACATGTATATTGTGTTTTTTAAGTCATTAATGTTTGTTTGTTGTTAAATGTCCCTCTTGGGAATTTTTCACTCATACGGAGACACCACCACTTAAAAATAATGAAGACGTACAAGTCGGATTTAAGGTTAACATTCATTTTAGGAATTTTCAACAATTAATTAAGACGTAAAGAGATAACTCCTTCCCCTTGCCCCTTCCCCTTCCCAGACCCCAGTTTGTTCATGTATGCAAACTAGTCTAATACTTTGGTTTGACATAAAAAAAATGTGAATACATACAAATAGTTTAATGGTCCATCTCTTTGAATGATTTTCATTCCTAATTCTAGGTTGACCCAAATTCATGAATGAAATGTCAAGTAATCTTATCATTGATGCACTTCTATTTAATTTGATGTAGTCATATTATGAACAAGAGAGTGGGGATGACCTCAAGGGTTCATAACCTTAAACCATTAGATGTACATAACATAATAACACAAGAAACAAAATTATGTCTAGTCAAATGGAAAAATTTTCTACTATTTAGGAGTCGCATGATCATTTGTCATTTCAGGGACAGGGAGCGGCTAGGGAGATTGGAACCCCCCCCCCCCTGGAATTTGCAGAGTTATTTAAATAGGACTATATACTGATTTACAGAAGCAAATAAAAAATGACTTTGGATGCCCTCCCCCTTTAAAAACATGGACCCCACCATCATTGTTTTTATTTTGTTTGTTTGTTTGTTTTTTTTTTATTTTGCTCCTCAGGAAATTCTGGGCTGGAATTTTTTTGGACCGAGGTGTGGACCCCCCTCCCCCCCCCGGAAAAAAATTCCCGGATCTATGCCTGTAACTGAATGTAATGTCGACAACGGGAGATAACTCTTCAGAATGTGAAATTCGTCTATTGTGGCATTGATGATCCACTCTCTACGATCGGCTCATACATTCAGTGTCTGAGAGAGAAACGAACGACAACTCTGCATAGGAGATTGCCGATGATCTTTGATCCTTTTTAAACTTTAACCTAACCATTTGCATTTTGGTTTATTTTACCCCAATCTATACTTAAACTTGTACTTACCGACTGTCATAGGTCCTGTCAACTTCATGAAATATAATCCAATTAAAACACAAAATGAATTAATTTCCACTGATATACATGTAACACTGCACCATGTCACATGGCATGTGCAATCTAAAAATGATAATGGTAAAACTAGTACTAGTACTGGTAGGGTGACGCAAGCCCAATGTGATGTAGAAATTTTCAAAAAGGTGTTCACATACATGTACAGTACAAGAACAAATTTTAAATTATCATAACAAACGATGTTTAACATAACTTTGCCATCTAGGCCTATTTCCAAAAACAGGCAAATTGTGTGTGTGTGTATTTGGGGGGGGGGGGGGGGGGGGACACATATAAATTGATTGGGTATGGCTTTTCAAGGAGGTTTTTGCCTAATCAAATACTAAAAAAAGTTTGCACATTTTGATAAATTCATCAAAAACGCTTTGTACTAAAATAATATTATTTGTTGTTGAGAAGATAAATTTAATTTAAAAAGTTCCAATTATGGGCCAAAAATTTATATCCCCCCCCCTTTTTATTAAAACCTAATTTACAACATTAATTAAATTCTGATATTTCAGACTGGTAATGAATTAAGTATATGAAATGCGTATAAGAGGTTCATGGGTCACATGGTCACCTGAGCATTTTATGCTCGATTTGACGAATACATGTACTGTGTAAATTATAGAATTATTTGGACTTTTTCCTTGGTAAGCCCAATATGAAGGAGTGTGCATTTAGAGGCAAACACCTTAGTGCGGGTATTACTGTCTCATGACAGCATCTAGTTTAGTTTAGAGTTTGACTCTAGTCATGATTATTTTCTCTGATTACTTTAAAACAATCCATGATAGAAATTCTGAACGATTTGAATCTTCGTTAATTTTGATGGCTATATGCAAAGGTCATTTCTTACATGAAATTTTAACCCACATCCCTCCTACAATTCCTAAAATGGAAATTTTCAATGTATTGAAATATCATATTACTAACCCAATTATGCATCCACCCCAAACACCATTTGCACTTTGTTAGAAAAATTTCGAGTTATCATTTTTATGTGTTCTGTAATTAATTAACTTTTAGATTTTTAGGGTCTTCACAGAATCGTGCAATATAACAAACAATGTGTCTATATTTTTGCTGGTAATAACGGAAGCCATTTACAAAAGAGTTGTAACGTGAATCCATTTAGTTTACCTTCTTTCAACCGAAAAAATTGACAAATTTTCTTTTTAATTTTGTTTCCCACATCTACCATAACAATATCTCCAGATCAGAAGATACAAATAAGGCAAGAATACCAGATATGTGGTAATCGGTAATTGCAGCTGTAATCAGCTATAATTAATTGGGTTTTTTCTCTCCAATTGATTAGATGTAGTCAGTGATCATAAAAATCGTATTACTCGTTATTTAAACAATTACAGGTTAGAATTTGACCTAAGTCATGATTATTTTCTGAATACTTATAATTTTATAAAAAAGCATTATGGTTATCGAATATATTGAATGTTTTCAAAATTTCTCAATTTTTGAATAGCATGCCAAATGATCGATCATTTTTAGACGTGCAATCAAAATCTTTATCCCCCTAATACCCCTATGAAAAAAGTTAAAGGTATTGAAACAATATACTATACCTATTTCTATTTCAATTTATCAATTATCTGTGTAAGAAATTGTTTCCAGTTATCATCTTCATGTTTTCTATAATAAATTAAATTTATATGATTTTATGATAATAACGAAGTATCAAATCCATACTAACGGATTATATATTTAAGAACCCTTTATATACACTGCACACTAAAGAGTTCTGATTGAGTTGTATCTTATGAAGAGTAAGCTCCCCTTAGATATAAATAAATTGAAATCTTCATTGTACCACTTATTTAATTTTTAATTTAAGCATTCTTGCTGCTTTGATAGGCCCAGATAAATTTACTGAGCATTTTATATCCATTTATTGTCCCTTTTGAAGTAATCAACAGTTATTTCAGTCCATCCTGCTTTATTGCCTTTGTGATCTTTCCTAGCTATATAAAAGAGTAAAAACCAGATACCTTATATTTAAAATGAAATAGATACGCTCATTTTATACGCAATATATAAAAAATATAATTTTATTTAACGCCAAAGAACATTTAGCTTTAGTGTATAAGGAGTATTTGAGGGGAAATAAAGACATGTACCTTGTACTAGAAGTTATATCTTAATTAATATAGAGTAATTTTTTTTCAGAGAATGAATTGTTATTGAACAAAAGGATATGGTCAGTAGGCAAATTTGAATATGTCCATATCAACTCAATGTGATGATTTCTTCTTGGCGTTTAGAGGTAGGTGAAAGCAAATTAATGCAATTCAATCATTTCCAGAAAAGCAGAAACAACTTTTCAATAACTTATGATGCTAAAATGCAATTCAAGTACATTATTAATTAATTTTTACTATGCATGTAATGTACAAATATGCTCCAGATAAATAGTTATACACTACAATTAAACACATCCAGATAAATTTTATCAAAGGAAAACATGATAAATCTAAAAAGAAGATAGTTCTTATTTATTCCATTACTATCAAAAAGGTAGCTTAATTGTAATCATTAAATTTCGAGGTTATTGTAATTCAATTAAATGTACATGTACTTTTCCAAGCAAGGAGCCACATTTCTTAGTAATTGACCAGTGAATTCTTCAGAAAAAATAAAAATAATACGTTATCGCCTACTCCCCTGATTCTAATTCGTCGAATTCCTTATTCATGTTGTGACCCCGTTTTTTGTGTTAGAAAAAACTAAATAAGGTCACAAAGTAAGTGTAGGTCACACAAGATATTATGCAGTTATGATAGTATAACTCCAGATTTATGACTATTATTAAAAGGATATTGACAGACGAAAGCTTTTCACATTTGTTTAGTAGTTAAAATCTGCTTTGAGTTTTGCAATAGCCTAGTTACAAATTAATCTGGTCCTCAGATAAAAAAAAAAAAAAAAAAAAAAAAAAAGGCATATTTTTATCGTGTATGTTGTTTCTATTCATGATGTCTCTAAAACTTCAACGAAACTTGATGAACATATTTGTCTCACTTATTTTTTTTAAGATTAAAAAAAAACATTTTTCGCCTGTGTTTTTTTCCTCTTTTGTTGTTCCTTTGTTGCCACCATCATACATTTCAAAAGTTAACGAGGATGTGTCTTCATCCTCCTGACACAATAAGTGTTATAATATAAAATAATTTATCTGGTTACGATTTAATCTAGCCTGCAAAATGAAAAAAAAATAAAGGTGCTTAATTCAGGTTTTTGTTTTATTGATATCACAAATGTAGAACGCAAAAGTAAAATTATATTACATTTTGTTCCATTAATTTGTACATTCTTAATACATAATCAGCTATACACGTAATTCAATTAAATAAATAAAGTACAAGAAGTCAAATCCTTTGCGCTGTCATCTGAAATTATAAAAAGATATGAAAGAAAAAAGATGATTTTTTCAAAAAGGAATTACATGCTTCATCAATATCAATTTTCTAAGAGGAACATTTTCACTTAAAATTAAAAAGAAAAGAAACTAAACAGAAGACTGCCTGCCAGAAATTTGTCACTTCAGGTATTTTGATAAAAGCTTTGCATCGATATGTGCACAACAATTGTTCACAAAGTATCATGTAACATTATCATACATGTATGCTATCTTATAATTCTTTTGTCTTCATGTTACCTTGTTATCAACGACTCCAGCTCCAGGAACCACCGCTGCTGGAATCAGACCATCTTCTGTGCCATCTCCAGGGGGAGGCAACTGATCCCATCACGTAGACGGACAGAATAACCAGAACAAGAAGCAACAAAAGCTGAACGAAGTTCATTGTTCTCTGTTATTGTCTATTATATCTGAAAAGAGATATAATAAAAAAAAAATTATGCTTAAAAATTATTTGGTATTCAAACGAATCATACTAAGATCTGTGTTTATCAATGCTTATTATTAAAATAATGTAACCCAATTCTACATCTTATGAAATAATAAAGAATATCGTACTTTTTTTTATATATTATAATGCTTTGTTAGTTGTACATTATATATATATATATATATATATATATATATATATATATATATATATATATATATATATATATATATATATCTTTTTTATCTTTTGTCATAATAGTTAGCCGAATTTCCTTTGAAATTTCAATATATTCTAGTACTGTTTTTCTTTCTATGCTTTTTTTAACAAAGGTTAAAAAAATTATTGATTTATGAATTTAAAAAGGTTAAAGTTTACTTTCAATACAATATTACTTTAGCTTGGAAGATGAATTTCTCTCAGAAGAGTTGAGGATATTTTGTTGGGTAAAGCTAATGTTAACTAATGAAATAACTCACGCCTTGTGAATTTTGGAAAATGAGAAAACTTGCTCCATATGAAATTAGCTCCGTATCGAGTTGTTATTCTTCCACTTACCTTTAATTTAATGTTTTGATATCTTTTCGGTCCTTTTTACAGAAAAAGATCTTAGTTATTGATGCAAATTCATAAAAGTTATTTCATATAATGATATGTTAGTTAATTCTTATCATTGTAATCAATTGCAATCCTATTTTTATCATGGAAGAAAAACCTATCAAAAATATCTGTAAATGAATGTTTAGGAGTCTGTAATTAATGTTAATTATTTACAAAAAAATCATATTTTTCTAAAGGAAAAAAAGTTACTTACCTTACGGCTTCAGTAAAAAGATGGTATGTCATTCAGAGCAGACAAGTCTCCCTTTATAGTGGCAGGCTTTGACTAATTGAACTTGGGAAAATGTCAAGCAAGGCACATAGTTTGTGCAATCTCATTGCAACAGACCTATAGTGAGGTACGATATTGTTGGCTTTCAGTGTATAAAGTACATGTCTGTCAGTTGGTTTACCTTGAGATTAAATCCGATGCTGAGTTTGTGTTGAATATTTATATTTGAAGTGTTTGTTCATTTTTAACAGAACTTGCTACAGTCACACCTTTTGGTGCAATGCCTTTCAGTAAATATGAATTGAGAGAACTTTGCATTTGTTTTCAAATTAGTTTTTCGTCCAATATTTTACATATATATGGGGCATTTTAATTTTTCTACAGAAAAAAAATGGTGTGATGATTTATGTCTAAGATAGTAGAAATAGACTTTACATAAAGATGCTAAACATGCCACATAAAAATACGTATAATGTAATGAGAATCAACTGTATTAAAACTAAGTGCATACATGTAATTTCGGCGATTTAAAAATTGTTAAAGATATTAAAGAAGATATACCGTATAACGGGTATTTTTTGGAAATTTTTGCGATTTAAGCCCTAAAAGGTAGCATATTAATTTCTGCGTTTTCAATTTCTGCGGTTTCATTATACCGCAAAAAATTATTTACGGGGTATGATCACTAAACTCTAAGACTTATCTGAACACTGCCATGTTTTCGTTATATAAATTCATTAAAATATATGACGTGTATCTATATTTTTTTTGATCACACTGTTCCATGAGTTGTCCGATCTAAACGATTTAATCTTACTTTTAATTTTCGAAATGAAGAATCACATTCATAGAAAAGACAACAAAAAGAATAGAGGTTCCATAACCAGTGCGAAATAGTTATCTGTTTATCACAAACTCGAGTTCCTTTTTTCCCTTAATTTTCAAGAGAAACGATGATTTCTTATTATACTAACATGAACCTGTACATTTTAGGCTTACTAAGCAACGCACGGAGTAAAGCAGCCAATGAAGCCATCATAGATTTTCCATAACATCTTATGAACACGAAAAAAAGAACAACAGCACGGGTGTATTGAAACACAATTAATAATGGGAGGAGTATGAAATTCGTTATTGCCACAGTACATTCCATTTATCTACATATAAGCTTCATTAAAGTTATATCCTAGCAATTCAGAAATATATATATTTAAATCATTTCTATATCGTTGAACTATACTTAACTTTGAAAAAAAAACGTGAATAAGAAATCAGTTAACCAAATTTGATTCACCAGGGATGCAAACGGAATCACGGAATTTTCAAATTAAATAGACTGTGTTGCAGGTGTCATTACAGTATTTCAGTTGAGATTCACGTCAGTTCATGGCTGACGCAAAATAATTCCTGAATCTTCCCTCCCGATTCGAGCATTTCGGCACGAGACTGGAGCTGATTTTTTTTTTTATGAGATGGAAAAATATACGTTAATTTCCTGTATTGACCAGATTCGTTATAATTCAGGGCGTGCTGATTTTTCTATATACTGTACTTGCGTGGAGAGTGATTAGGTCCTGGACGTGATTTACAAGCTCGCTTTCGATCGAAACAAACTTGCGTGCCTTTGCTGGATGGCTATGTATTTCTTGGTACTAAAATCTTTATAAAGAATTGTTTTACAAGATCTGAAAAGGAAACCACTCAAAACTTTGTTTTGAATTAAAACCACCTACTCAAAGCTGCGCATTTTTGGTAAGAATATATAGCAAAATTTAATACTGTTGTGACACCTATATATTTTTATTTCTTGTGTGTATAAGATGATGATAGAAACAACTTATGATAAAATAAGTACACTACTCTGTGATGTTTATCTTTTTACACACCAATAAATTAAAAGACAAATTTTAATATTTTTCTTCACAGAACTCCTTTAATTTCTACTTCTTGCTCAGACGATACAAACCAAATCTGTGTAATTGATAATTATACTTGTATACTTGTAATGAGGTAAAATGGCATGGATTCCTTTTTTCAAGTAATTAGATGCAATCAGTAATCAAGAAAAATATAATTACTCGAAATTTAATTTAATTCATTTAAGAATTTGACTTTAGTCATGATTATTTTTCTTGATTACTCTTTACAAAATGCATTATTGAAAGTCTGATATGAAAGGTGAAGATAACGAACAGTGATCAATTTTATTAATCCAGTAAAGAATGAATCATGACAAAAACATATCCCCTGGAAACATCAGAGCTGGGATTTAAATGCGGTTGTTGAAATCCTTGTAACATCAACTAATTTGTCAGTAGCTTGCCTCAGTTTAAAAATTTCTCGTACTCAGAGCATGGTCTTGAGCATCGAGTCAGTTGGAAGACATAAAAACACGATATGCAGGTGATGTTGAAATATTACAACATAAGTAAGTGAAGTTGACGATAGAAAAGCTGAAGTCATCTCGTTTGTGATACAATTAAGTCTTAAGTTGGTCATTATTATCTATAGTAAATAAAACATGCAAAAATGAAACAGATGTGGCAGAATCCCGTTTTATCCTACCGTTTGTAAGCCCCACCCTTATATATCCCAAATATACAGTGACTGAATTGGTTCATAGTTGCTTAGTGATGATAGGAAGCACGTATACTTGTGAGTGACAAACACTTCGCTTTCGGCGTTCGCTCTGGGTCCGCTTTGGGTGTGCTCTGGATTCTGAGTTCTGATTTTTGAGTGATTTCATCTCTAGCGGTCCCCAAGCGACCGCGAAAAGTGAACCGGGTTTCGGTTGTGGTCCGCTTTCTGTTTGGCTATCTGGTTGTTGCTGTATTTTAAATTCACCGGAATGTGTACATTCAACATATGAATGAAAGTAACTATTGTTCATTGATAATGCGTCGTCAAAATATCAAAATGCTAAGTTAAAGGCCACAGCAAGTGTTTTCTTCTTTTCGTGTAATGGTTTTTGAGTACATTCTCCTCTAAGGAATATAAAAAATGGGTCAGTTAAAATGGAGCACCATTAGTGCCCATCGAATATCAAACATACTGTTGGAAGACCTGGTCTCCAAAGACTCGTTATATATTGTTGATGAGGAACTGTACATCTTTTTGATAATTCAGAGTACTTGTTTGTAGAATCAGAATGATTTTTAACAAAGTAATTTTGTTGATGACAAGCCACAAGATACGAAAAATTACGATTTTCATTTTTATTGAGGAAGCAGTTGTCTATGAGGTCAAAAAGCCTACTCTTTTATTTTTTGCGAGAAACGATTGTGTAAAGCATAGAAAAGGCGTATGTTCTGATGTTTTTGATGATTGAAATGTTTAGATTTTAAATTTTCCAAAAGTTCTTTGGATTTTTTTTTTCAGAATCCACAATTGATTTATACCACTTCTTGAATATGTTGCCGCAAAATAATTCTGAAAGTTCTCCTTCACAGCAGTTAACAGGGTTAACAGGGTTAAGGGTAAGCAGGGTTAAGGATAGAGGCTTGGTTGAAAATTACTGGACCCGGCAATATATTTTTGTTTGTAAGGCTTTTTATGACGTTTTTGAATATTTTGAATAGGTACGGCAAATCAAACTCACTTCTATTGCCTGGAATGTAATAAGTTTTTAAAACTGAAAGTTGATTTTAAAGTACTCACCTTTTGAAAGGTAACTGTGAGTATAGGATGGATTACCAGGTGTGGAATTAAAACCGAGTTCTTCTAAAATGCAGTTGTAATAATAAGCTTTACAAAGACTTTATTATTACAAGCTTTGTCACCTGGACCCAAAAATATTTTTCATGTAGTTTTTTCTAATTTTTTCTATCTCTCCTTTCTACTGAAAGCTTTAGGATAGATAATTCGCATTTTGCCCCCTAATATCCTTATGTAATCCTTTAATATATATATAAATCGCTTAATCCATTCTGACGGAGTGTCAAGGTCTTCCTCTTCATATTTAGCCTATCCTATAGCATACTCCTCGACGGAATTGATAATAGAAATGAAGTTCTGTTGGCGTTTGAAATATCTTGGTACCCTGAAATTTAGATCTTTTAAAAACATAAGTCTTAGATCGTCATTTTGAACTTTACGTATATCACCAGCTGGAGTAGTGTAGAAAGAAAAGAAAGAA